AAGCAATAAGTTGATTGTTGGCACAAACTATTATTGATCATTAGATCAGGGCTTGGGAAACTTTCTATAAAGAGCAGGATACTAAGTAGTTCAAGCTTTGTGAGTCATATACAGTCTCTGTGAAAACTATTCAAGCCAGCCATTGTTGAGCAAAAGCAGTATAGACTATGTAAACAAATAAACACGACTATGTTCCAGTAAAACTTCATTTGCCAAAACCGACAGTGGATTTGGCCCATAAATCATACTTTACCATAGTTTACTAATATAGAACTTCAGAGTCGGGGTGGGGGGTGGTGAACTGCTCTGCAAGTAGGATTATGTTCTGAGGAAGGGAACTGAGCCCAGCTGCACAGAACTGAGGCAGGTGGTAGGGCTGAGCAAAAGGAATTTAAATAAAGATGCTAAGTCTCCACTGTATGGTAGCTTTTTGGTTTAAATTAATGTGCTACTGTATTTAAGAGTCTAAACATGTATTCAATAAATTATTATTGTTGCTAAGAATTGAGTGGAAGGCAAAATAACAGTCTGTATTGTTCCTTCTTCTTAAAGACTGGAAGTTGAGACTGAGAAGTTAAAAAGAACTTGCCTCAAATCACAGCCTGGTAGAACCACAAATGAATTCTTATTCTGTCCGACTCTTAGTCCACATACCTAACCATCCAATCCATTCTGCAGTCAGGAGAGGCAGGTGGGGGGTTCCCAAACTGGCCTGCTTTCTTTATTGGATATTGGATATCACAATGAAATTAGTTTGAACGCCCTTGATTTTTGGCAGGCTAAGACTCCCAACCTGAAGGAAATCAGCATTTTACCGGTATGAAATCCATCTTCTGAAATGTTCAGGGCACTCAAAGGCAAGAGGTGAGAGATTCCCAGCTGTTCCATGCCTGGCCCCCCAAGGGAGTGCCAAGTCAGTTCTGTTGAAGTGGCTATGTCTGGTTCTATTTCAGGGCCTTCCACAACTTTCCTTGATGTAGACTCATTCCTTAATCAAGGGTAGAACTTTCGTTAGGCTCCCCTTAAGAACTTACAAACACTATAGATGCTTCCCCATTGGTTCTGACCACATCTATAAGATAAGGTTCATCAAAATAAATGGTAAGGACTGGGGTGTAGCTCAGTGATAAAGCATTTGCTTAGCAAGTGCAAGACCCTGGGTTTGATCCCCAACACCACAAAAAAAGGTAACTATTTTCACTGCTTATTAGACAATGTTAGTTTAGGTCTTTCCCGTTGTTTTTTTTAGGTCTTTCTAGTTCTGACAATGACCCTGCAAGGCAGGTGTGATTGTCCCTACTTAACAAATGTGAAACCTGAAGGACACAGATAACATTTTTTGTTAGCTCTTTCACAGACATGATTAACTGTTGAGGGAGGCAAATTAACAAGATTCTCCATAAAGAGGGGAAAACCTAGACTTGGAGGGATTGACTTGCCCACCCCACTCATCTCCACCTAAATCCACATCTCTCCAGATGCTCATCTTGGTGAGGAAAGACAACACAGGATAATCACTTCAGGATCAGACAGAATCAGGTCCAAATCCCAGCCCTGCCTCTTACTAGCTGTGTGACCAATTGCTCCTTTTCTCTCTGGAGAGCAGTTACATGTCATCCTACATGTCCTGTAAAGCCTTTTGTTCTGACCTAGTTTGTTTGTACAGCAAACATCTTTGGATAACAGAGATGGTAGCTCCCTCCAAGTCAGAAGGAGGGTTTGTCTGCTGTGCAGGATAATTAAGATGGTGCCACCCCGAGGCAAAAATTGAGCAGTCTTACCATCATCCACCTTTAAAACATTAGGTTTTACTGAGCTCAAGGTTACTCAGCTGTGACACAAACCAACTGTAAGTGCAGTTATCTACCTGGGTCCACCTCTCCACAGCCCATGAGATTTCTGAGCAAAGAGAGCAAGCAAGAACATAAACCTCAGCCAGATGCTGGAGGCTCACACCTGTAATCCTAGCTACTCAAGAGGCAGAGATCAAGAGGATCACGTTTCAAAGCTAGCTTGGGCAAATAGTTTTCAAGACCCTATCTTGAAAATATGCAAAACCAAGATGTTCTGGCAGAGTGGCTCAAGTGATAGAGCACCTGCCTAGCCAAGTGTGAGGTCTTGAGTTCAAACCCCAATACTGCCAAAAGAAAAAAAAAAAAAAGAACATAGACTTCCTGTTGCCTGCTGTGCCATGAGTAACAAAATTCTTTGTTTCTGACCCAAGAGTCTCATGTCTTCTAACAGCATCTGTGAAACTTGCAGACTAATTCATTAGCATGTAAGTAGGGTAAAATTCCAAATCCTTTGTGGTTCTTAACACTATCACCCAACTGCCAAAAGGATCAGTAACTCTCACTTTCTCACCTGCCATTAACCTCAGCATCCTGCACTTTGCCATCTGCTCTCACTACAATACTAAGCTGTTTTGCCAGTGATACCAAAGAACAAATACTGTTAGATTCAATGGGTATTTGACTCCAGGAACATCCTTCTGAACCTCTGCAGCCCTTAGCACTAGGAGCACATTCTCCTGAAGCATCCTGCTTACACATGATCACGATTTCCTCCCTCTCCTTATTTAATGAACTCCTCCAAGGGCTCCTTTCCTGTTAGCAGCCACATCAATGTCCTGCAGTCTCTGATCACTTGGCTTTCCTCCCTGGGAGATCTCACTCACACTGTTGGTTTTAGGAACCTTATATATGGTAATGATGCCCTAAATAGTAGCTCCAAGTCCAGAACTCTGACACACTTATCTAACTACCTGTTGAACAGTCCCACCTGACACTCAAGTGGTGCAAAAAGGAACCCTGGCATCCCACACCCGCTAATCCTCCCTCTTGCATCTATTCTGTTTGTGGTACACATAGCCATCTGTCTCATCGTTCCAGAGTCATCATTAACCTTTCTTCTCACCTGCCAGAGCCAAAATATGGATAGCAAATATTCGGTAGAAATATGGCACCTGATCCAATTGATGGTTTTATTTTTTGTTTAAGTGCTGCTTCTTCCTCTCCTCCTACTATTGCTCCCTCTCTGGTCCCAACACCCTTGCCTTGGGTAACTGCAGTATCTAGCTAACCCTGCTTCCTGCCTCCTCCTGGCCCCCACTCTTATGTTGCTAGAGTTTTGTTTCTAAAATATAAATCAAATCATTCCCTTGCTTAAACTCTTCATTTTCTCCTCACAGCCTAGCTGACAGAAAAAAAAAAAAAAAGCTCTTTAACAACATAGTTGGCATGCTCTTGAGTACAATGACCCATCCACCCCGAAGTTCCCCTCCTTTTAGGATTCCTCTGACCCATCTCCTATGGCCACTACCACTGGAAATGGAAGACAGGTGGGGAGGAGGCATCTCAAAACAACACTCCTTCCCTGGCACTAACTGATTTTAGTTTTATTATCTGGAACTAGTAAGTCATAAAATGTTCCATTAACTAGTCACCTATATTCCGCCTGCTCCAAACCTGCCTGAGCATTTTTAGTTTTTCTTTAAAAAAAAAAAAAAAACACAATTTGGATCAGGTGCCATATTTCTATCCAATTATTTGCTATCAAGTGCGGTTTTTTTCCCTCAGGGTCCCCTAAGGTTCCTTGGTGATCCATCTATATACATATATATATATCTATATATTACATAGACATCAGTATTATATATACATAGATATTATAATACTGTTATTTTTAATTTCTTCCTCATCCTCTAAGGAACAAACCAACATCCTTAAGCATCCACCAGGAGGCGCCAGGGACGGCGAAAGACCTGCGGTACCTTCACGATGGAGGTGGAGATGGATGGAGCGGCGATGGAACCAGGCTTCCTTTTTTAAGAATCAGTGTGAGCGAACGGAACAGAGCCGCGTTATTTTAGGGAGACTTTGTCGCACTCCCCCTCCCTCGTGTAGGTAGTGTCTGGGTTGTGTGTGCCGTGCTTGCGGACCCCATGGAGAGACGCTGGCGGCAGCAGCTGGGGCTCCTTTCGCGGCTGCAGCCAGCAGTAACCCGACCCCGCCGGTGCAGGGACTGAAGAAGCGCCGGGGAGAGCGGCCAGCGGCGAACAAAAGCCCTCGGCACCGGGCCGGAGCTCCGGACCTGGGGTAAGTGAATCCGCCCAGGGACCCAGCAGCTGCGAGTACTGGGGCGGTTCGGGTCGCTGCACTCTGGGAGCCCACCCCGCCGAGATGCGATGGGGCACCTGGGGGCGGGTATCCGAGCCCAGCTAGGTGAAGGTACCATTAGCACATTTAGACTTGGAGGAGATCGGGTGCATCTAGGAAGATCTGGGTGCCTTCTGCATCCCCCGCAAACACCCGGTGAGTGGTGGGGGTTGAGGAGGCGGGCAGAGCTCCTAGCAAGCCCTGCTGGAGAGGCAGAAGCAAGAATCTATCACCTCTCTTGGAAGGGCCTTTGGGGACTTCTCTCAGCCCTTCCATCACCCGGGGGCCCTCCATCCCGGTTCCTTTTGGCAGTGGGAAATCAACCATAAACTTCTTCCTAAGCAAATGGGATCCTCGCAGCAATGCACTTTGGGATGAACAGGCCTCTTCCTTTTTTTTTTGTTCCTGCAAAGCTGCATCCCCAGCAGCCCGCCTAAGCTACAAACAAATACGCTAATCCTCCCGGGAATCCTTCAGCGCCTCCCTCGCTGGCTGCTGCCTGCATCTCGACCTTTTTCATTGTAGCTTGCAGCGGGAAGGGGATGCATCTAGCGGCCACACGCCAGGGGAGCCTTACCACAGGCTCCGCATTACAGGGCTAAGGGAGATTGAAGCTGCTCTCTGCGCCCCAGCTTCCCTTCCACCCCTCACCCGTTGACCAGCCTGGGTTTCAGGGCGTCGGTTTTCTGATTTACGTTCCACCAGGCCTCTGAGCCTAATCCGAAAGCGGATTAAGTTGGGAAGGGTGAATATGGATGTAGAGGGGGGAACCGCTCTCAGATGTATTCCTCTATGTCCCTCCTTGTCATCCGCAGAGACTCCAACAAAGGACAAGGCTCAGCTATGGTTGACCCAGTGCCCGAAGAAGAGAAAGAGGGAACCGAACCCGGTGGCTCAGAAGGGGATGGGGACACAGCTTCTGTGCCTCCTGATACCCAGGGCGCCCAGCAACCCGCCGCCTCCTCAGCCTCGACCTCTGCGGCGGTGCCGGGCAAGGCAGAAGTCCCGTGCGCAGCAGACGGCGGGCGGAGGGAACAGTCTCCGCTGCTGCACCTCGACCTCTTCAACTTCGACTGTCCAGAGGCAGAGGGCAGTCGCTACGTGCTCACCAGCCCCCGCTCGCTAGAGGCCTGTGCCCGCTGTGCGGTCAAACCGGTGGAGCTGCTGCCGCGGGCCCTGGCCGACCTGGTGCGTGAGGCCCCAGGCCGCTCCATGCGGGTGGCCACTGGCCTGTACGAGGCGTACGAGGCCGAGCGGCGCGCCAAACTGCAGCAGTGCCGGGCCGAGCGCGAGCGGATCGTTCGCGAGGAGAAGCGGCGCCTCTTCACGCCGTTGGGCCCCGCGGCCTCCACAGCCTCAACCTCCGCCTCAGCCCCGAGCGCTGGCAGCAGCAGTAGCTGCAGCAGCGCTAGCCTCCCGGCCTCGCCTGCACCGCGTGCCACCCGAAAGACTTCTCCCAGTCCCTCCGCCCGGACCCAACCTCCGCCCGCGGGTTCTCGGACAGGTAGGAAGAGCCACTCGCTGGACTCGCTGTCCCGCCGGCGCGACGGTGCCCTCAGCTCCGAGTCTGGCGCATCGTCGTCGTCCTACAGCGGGGAGAGCCTGCGGGAGCTTCGCTGGCCTCCGCGGGCCTCGGCCAGAAACAGCTGCCCAGCAGGGTCCGCGTCCTCTGCACCCAACCCTCTGGGCCGCCCTTCCGCCCTTGCCCTGGTTCCACTCACAGGCCGCAGCTTCAGCCTCGGCGACCTGAGCCACTCGCCACAGACCGCTCAGCATGTGGAGCGCATCGTGCGCCAAGTCCGCGCCGAGCGTGGCCTACGCGAGGTGCCGGAGCGCGACCGGAAGATCGCTGCGCTCATGCTGGCGCGGCACCAGGAGGAGCGCCTGTTGCTGGAGCAGCGCGCCGCGGCCCACGGCCAGTGGGAGCAGCAGCGCGTGCGCGCCGAGCAGCGGCGGGAGCGCGAGGAGCGCGAGAAGCATCGCGCCCTGGAGCAGGGCCGCCGGGCCTGGGCCGCACAGGTGGAGGAGCGGCGCGGCCGCCGGGGCCTCGAGGAGCGCGAGGCTGCACGGCGGCGGCAGCAGCAGTGTGAACGCAGCGAGGAGCGGCGGCGGGAGCTGGCGGAGCGCCAGGGCCTGCTGCGGCGGGAGCGGGCGGAGCGCACGGCCCGGGAGGACCGGCTGCGCAAGCTGCAGCAGGAGCAGAACCTGAAGCAGCGGGAAGAGGGCCTGCAGGAAGGACGTGAGCGAGCCGAGCAGGTCCGCAGGGAGCGCGCGCAGCGCGCGGCCCGCGCCAAGCAGCAACAGGAGGGCCTGCTGCAGAGGGAGAAACGCGAGCTGAGCCGGGCCGAGCGGACGCGCCACGAGGCGCTCCTGCGGGGCCGGGCCCGGCAGCAGCACGAGGAGCGGGAGGGCCTGCGAAGCTCCCTGGAGGCCAGCTTGGGCCGCGCGCAGGAGAACTACGAGCAGTTGGTGGAGCAGCGCACTCGGGAGCTGCGGGAGCGGGCCCGGCGGGAGGAGCTGCAGGGTCGGCGAGCCAAGGAGGCGGCCGAGCGTAAAGAGCGGGAACATCAGGCGCACCTGGAGGCGCTGGCCCGGGCCGGGGAGCGACGGCTGCAGCACGCGGCGCAGGTGGCCGAAGAGGCAGTGCAGCAGAAGGCCCGGCGCGTGGTCCAGACCCGGCTGGAGAAGGAGCGGGCCCAGCGCGCCAACAAGGAAAAGGTGGAGAGGGATGAAGACTGCCGTCGGCGGGAGCTGCTCCAGGCCATTGGGCGCAAACTGGAGCGCAGCGAGCAGCTGTCGCGGGAACGGCGCAGCGCACTGGAGAGCGCTCGCTCCACTGCCCGGGCGTCCTTCCACGTGCGGGAGAAGGTACGAGAGGAGACCAACACGCGCTCCTTCGATCGCATGGTGCGGGAGGCCCAGCTCCACGCCAACCTAGACCGCAAATGATTGCCGCGCTGCGCCCACTGGACTGGCACGCACAGCTCGGTGGGGCATCCTTGGGCTACTTTGACCAAACCGTGGGAGTCTCCAGTCCAGGCGCAGCACCATTCACTCTCCAGACTTCTGACCAATGAGGCAGTGAGAGGACAGACTTGAGGGACTTTTCAATCTGCCTCCTTTGTTTTTAAAAATGTACTTCCGTTTGGAGATGACATGGCACAAACTGCCTACATCCACTTTTGCCAAACCCCCCTACGTGTCTTTCGGATAGGAGAGTAGTTGGGAAGAAAGGGGCCCGCTAAGGCGAGAACACAGAAAGTGAACATCGCCTCCCCTTCTGCAGCAGTCGCCCCAGGTATCTCTCTGATTTTGTTGTCTGAGACTTTGAGTTGCCTGCAGCTGAGGGAGCAACTTCCTAGCTCACCTCCGTCTTTCAAAATACAAGTTGCACAAAACTTGAGGCCTCCCAGAAAAGCACAGCTCTTGAAGATGTCAGGCCATCCACAAGTGACCCAAAAAGCTATTGTTTTTGTATGCTTGACTATTAATCGGGCACCTGAGCAAATTCTATTAGCCACATAGTTCTCTAGTTCAGTCCCCTAGGTTTTCTAGGTAGACAATCATCAACGAATAATGATCACTTTTTCTTTTTTTTCCTGTCTCCTATTACCCCAAGTGACACAGGAAATGGGTTGGTTTGGTGATGCTGTTTAGCTTTAATGGAAGCCTCAGCCCCCAGAGTTGGTGGTTTCTTTAGGCAGCAGTTCTATCCCATGATGCTTCCTGGCAGAGTGATTTATTTTGGAGTGTCTGATGTCCACCTCCAAGTGTGGACTCACTTCTGCAGACAGTGGCCATGCCTTAAGAAGCAGAGCTACCTGTGTGCCTGCCAGGCTGTTCTTGCCTAAAGCTCCAGCCCTGAATGCAGTGTCAAGGGTTGGCCCCAGAGAGTTTGGAGTATAGAATAGAATTTCCTCTGTGAAGGAATCAGCTTGATGGTTTGGAAACAAGGGGTCCTTGGCTGCTTGCCTTTGGTCATGAAGGACTGGAATTGCCTCTCTTGAGAGTTGTGCTTGCTATTGTTGGTAAAGTATCTCCCCTCCTCTCCCCCTGCCCCCGGAAAAAGAGGATTTTCTTAAATTCCTGGTACCCTCTCATCTATAACAAAGTATTTGATCAGTCTCTTGGTGCCTCACCTTTCCCATCTGTCAGATGGGGCCATCAGAACTCCTTTTCTGGTACCTCAACTCTCCTGGATCCAAAGCACCACTTCAGTATTATTTGTTGGTCTTCTTTGTGCCTTTCTTGACCTGGAGTTGGAAGGCAGGAGGACTGCTGTTAGTTTATTTCTGGGAATAGGATTTCTGCCATTGGACAGGGCAGTGCATCAGACAGATGGTCGCTTAGCCTCTGGGGGAAAGTACTCGCAATACCAGGCCACTCCCTGGCCTAAAAGGTTCAGCTGTCATCAGGCAATTTTAACCCTTCGAGTGCTTCCCTTCCTGAAACTGAAATTGACCCCAGCTATATTCACCCATTGACTCTGCTTTCATCGGGGAAGGTGAGAAGCAAAACATCACTTTTTACATTAAATCAAGGTCAAGAAATTAAAAGTTACCAAAAAAAAAAAAAAGAAAGAAAAAGGAAACAGGGTAGAGAACTACTACATTAATATATTTAATGTATGTTCTGCTGGGCAGATTTGTCCCTAAAATGGCGGGTTATTATATATGTACACTCAAGTACACACATACACACAAACACACCTCATCAACTCCCACTCCATCACATACTAGCAAATATAAGAGGAGTAATGTGTGGAAGGAAGCAGTGGTTAAGTATACAGTTGAGATAATGTGAAACAGGAAAGGAGCTGTATAGCCAGGCTTATTCCTCGAATGAATGAATTGGTCCCTTAAATTTTCTTCTGGATGTCAGTAGGCTGTAATAATTGGTATTGTCTGTGAGTCAGGAGCATTTAACTGAAAAGTGAGTTCGTTCTTTTACCTTGTGGTTCCTGAGTTGCTTTTGAAACCTTCAAAAACCCTCACAACCTCTTACTTCCAAGTAAGTGCATTCGTTCTAGGAGACAATCTGCTGTTTTGGATAAGGCATTGGGAGGTACATAGGTGATCTTACCTGACCTTTTGCCAGGTTTGTTTGACATTGGTAGATCACCTTTCTATGCCTTAGTTACCCCACATGTGGAATGGGGATCATGATTCCTGACCTCCCTTGCACATTAACACTGTGAATCAGAATCTAAGAGACACCCCCGGTTCTATCACTCTGGAATCACAGGTGTACTCACTATAATCAGGAAGGGTCATGTGACCATACTGTGTGTATGTGTAATGTAGCATCATGAGCTCGTCTAGAATAGTCTTAAAAAGCACAGTGCAGAGCATAGTGTCACCTGTGATGCAAAGGCCCCTGGCCCGAATGTCACCAAATTAGAAGTTTGCACTCAGAGTCACTGTGTAAAGGCAAAAGCTTGGGTTCTTAAAAAAAAATCTATATAGGCAAGCTGAGCATGGTAACTCATACCCATAATCCCAGCTACTTGGGGCCATGGGGGAGGGAGGATGGGAATCAGGAGGATCATGATTTGAGGCCAGCCCAGGCAAAGAGTTAATGAGACCTCCTCTCAACCAATAAAGCTGGGTGTGGTAGTGCATGCCTGTCATTCCAGCTAAGCTGGGAGGCTGGAGATAAGAGGATCATGGGCCAGGCAGGTCACAGCAAAAACTCCAGACCCTATCTAAAAAATAACCTAAAGCAAAAAAAGGGCTGGTGATGTAACTCAAGTGGCAGAGTTCCTGTCTAGGAAGCTTGAAACCCCAGTTCAAACCCCCTACTGAAAAACAAAAAATCGATATGGCCAAGTATAGTTAGTGGGAAACCAGAAGAATGGGTCCTCCAAATTCCAGACCACCCACTAGAATACAGACACACCTGCTATTCTATTCTTTGCTGGGCCGTGTGTGTGTGTGTGTGTGTGTGTGTGTGTGTGTGTGTGTGTCTGTGTATAAGCAGGGTCTCTCTATGTAGCCCAGGCTGACCTCGAATTCACTGTCCTACCTCAGCCTCATAAATGCTGGGATTGCAGGTGTGAACCACCACATCTGGCTATATTGTTTGCTTGAAATGATGCCAGAGAGAAGATGCAGTTTCTTATTCTGAAGCACATCTAGAGAACATTGGAGGGAGACAGGGAGATGTGGAGAATTGCTCCTGGTATATATTCTGCTGGGCAGAATTATCCCTGAACAACATTCTAACAAATGCCCAGAGTTGACCTTAGAACACACTGCTAGAAGTTTTCTTACCAGGGATTGCAGCCTTGAGGTGGCTACATTTACGCTTTTGGAATATCCCCTTGTTCAGAAAAGAGAATGTGAGGTAGGCTGAGGAGGAACAGGAAGGGCTGAAAGAAGCTTTAATTTGGTTGGTTACCAAGGAAACAAGCAGGATGAATACATTTTAGGTGAAATCATTGGTGAAGCTAGTCCAATATCCTGCTCAGGCAGTGGCCAATGCCTACACCCACCAGGACAGGAAAATGGAAGTTTCCTTTTGGAAGCACACAGACTGTGGGTTTTCAATGCGGTGGTAGCCAGGATTTGCCAATGGCAAAGAATCTGTGGGGCAGTGAAGATAGAGCAATGTCTTAGTTTGTGAAAACAGAGGAATGTCTCAGTTTGTTTTGTGTTGCTCTAACAAAATACTCAAGGCTGAGTAATTTGTAAATAAAAGAGGTTTATTTATCTCATTGTTCTGGAGGCTCAAGAGCATGGCACCAGCATCGGCTTGGCTTCAGTGAGGACCTCATGGGAGTGACATTTCATGGGAGGTTGTGGGGGGTCACATTGCAAGACAGGAAGCAGGACACTGGGGAGGAGCCACTCTTACAGAAACTAATCTACTCCTACAAGACCCAACACTTTCTGCAAGACCATCCATAAGGGTGAAGCCCCCATGACCTAATTACCTTCCATGAGGCTCTGCCTCTTTTTTTGGCAGAACTGGGGTTTGATTGTTTTGGGGAGAGGGAGATTGGTAGTACTAGGGTTTGAACTCAGGGCTTCACATTTGCTAGGCAAGCGCTTTACCAATTGAGCCACTCTGCCTGTCCTTTTTGTGTGTGTGTTGGGTATTTTTGAGATAGGGTCTCACAAACTGTTAGCCCAGGCTGGCTTCAAGCCGTGATCCTCCTGATCTCTGCCTCCTGAGCAACAAGGATTACAGGCATGAGCCGTTGGCACTGGGCTAATACTGGGGTTTGAACTCAGGGCCTTGCACTTAATACACAGGTGCTCTACCACTCTAGCCATGCTCCCAGCTAGGCCCCATCTCTTCAAGCCTCTACCAGTTCAACACCATCACTCTGCGGACCAAGCTTCCAGCACATGAACCTTTGAGAGACAACTATATGCAAGTTATACCAATGGGAATACAGTTTGTGTTCATGCCTTTCTGTAAAGGCCACCACTCTCAACAGTCCACTGATACAGAGGGGTGACTCTACGTACTCTACACTGCATCCCCTGTAGCCCTTGGTTTCACACTTTGCATCTGGTACACATGTAAATACTGGATAGAGAGCAAACGAGATGGCTGGCTGACTGGATGATGGACAAATGAGTGGTGACCACAGAACTCTATAGAATACCTTGGGTAAGGAGGCCTCCATTCATTCACCACAGTTTCGTTGAGCACCTGCTATATGCCAGGCACTTCTCTTGATGCTGGTGAAATGGAATCTCTCTGATCATTGACCCTGGAAACCACTTGTGCTGCACTCATGAGCAGATGTCTGTTTCCACATTGGGCTCACTGGCCTTCCCACCTGGGTATCTATCCTTAGGCAGACAGGATGGTCCCTCAAGTCACTAAATGCAAGCCTTTTTAGTATCCTGGGAACAAGACATCTGCCAATCAGCCTTCAGCTAGTTATCGTTGCTCTTTTTTCTTCAGAGAACCCTTGATTAATCGAATTTATAATG